AACGTAGACCGTCCGTTCTGCCTTACTGGAACGGACGGTCCACGTGCAATTCTGGACCGTCCGTTCCAGGTTCCGGTTTTCCGAAAATTAAACCGAAATTAGGGTTAAATCACTTTATAAGAAAGAGATTAGAACCCTAATTCGTGAGAGACTTTGAGCAGCCGACTTTTGGCAGAAAAGAGAGGGTTTTTGGAGATCCAAAAACGAGTTCTAAGTCTCGAGATTTCTCGGTGCACATATCGAATAGAGATTCGGGTCCTAGCAGACAAGTTCCAATCGTTGGAATCCATCCCGAGGTGTGGATACGTGTAGAGGGCGAGGTATTCTTCCTGCCTTTCGTGATCAAACGACTTCTTCAGTTGATACAGGCCCCGGATCGATTGAGGTAAGCGTTCTAACGTTTCTACGAATTCAATAGCAGCATGGTTCTAGGGTTCTATAAATTTTTGTTTTACTTCCGCTGCACAAACCCTAGAATCGATCTCTTAGGAATTAGATTCGCTCATGAGATCCCAGGAAACCCAACAATCGGGTTGCAGGAGTAGGCCAATGACCAGGTGGAGTGAGTTGTTCCGCGGGTAGGTAGGGATACTACATGGAGGATATGTAGATCCCGGATGACGAGGAAGGGAGAGTCCGAGGTAGAAGGACATATGACCTCGGAGGAGTAAACCGAAGCTGCTTCGGTTCTCGGTAGTAGGTCAGGAGGTGAGGTCTCCACATTTAGGTGGAGCTTCCTCGGGTAGGATGCTCAGGAGATGGTGTGAGGTGGGAGGTGTCGGGATATCACCGGGTAGAGTCGGTGTAGGTTGGAGCGCTAGGACACTCCCTCTCGAGGTGGAGCACGTGCACTCACGTGTCTCATTCTCGGTGGAGCATCGTAGATGACTAGGATCGTTTTCACGGGACAAAACCGTGAGACAATTCTAGTTGGCAGGTTAGGGTCCGTGGGTAGAAGTCACTAACTCATAGGTGGCGTAGGCTCTACGGGGATCCAGGGCTAGGTTGTCTAGCAGGTTCGATAGTATGACTCAGGTTAGTCTCGGGGTAGTTGGGTTAGACTCGGGAGACGGGTAGATGTCGGGGGTTAACTCTCGAGGGTGCACGGGTGAAGTTTAGACTTCATCGGAGAGAATTATATAGACGGTCTAGAGAGTCATAACTATTCGAGGTCATTTCGTTAGTCTTCGGAAACGGGAGGTGTCGAGGGACACTCGGACACTCGTTTTGGGTAGACTAGGATTTGCGTGTTTATGTTGTTTATTCACGCTGAGACGTATTTATGGTATGCTCGGTAAGAACTCTCCTAATAACGGTGTTCCAATACGCCTTGGATCATGCCGGGAGGGAGAGTTACAAATGGAAGTAAAAGGGAAGTGATAGGGTCCAGATTTGGCGTTGTTTTGCTTCGTGTTCTTGTCTCTTTTGCAGGATTTGCAGAAGAAGGTGGAGATTTGTGGAGTGTCTTCAGCAAAGCCTCCAAATGGAGGAGAGGCTTCCCAAAGTCTCTTGACGAAGTGGAAGCTTTCAAAGTTTCGGAACAAAACAGAAGGTCCGAGGGGCACAATGGGTATTTTGTAAGGGTCGAATTAATGAGACCCTAGGGTTTGTATTTTTCCTCAGACTCGCGTTTTGGTTCTCTCTCTTACGGCCGAGAGCTCTCTCTCTCGCCGGGTGTGTGCGTGTCTCCGGGGCCGCCGTTCGGGGGTTCCGGCAATGGTCTTGCTCTGTAACCCTAGACACACGGCTTCCTCTTCCCGAGACATAGGCACCGAGATTTATCTCGGTGCTGAACTCGTAACTCCTCTGTGTCGTTCTCTTCTTTCTATCTTGCACAAACGAGAGCAGATCGGAGAGATTGGTGAGATTTCCGGCCGGCCTGAACCACTACAATATGATTTAGGGTTTATATTAAATTAGGTCAAGATTCAACTTTTACAATAAAACTACATATTTTCTATGAATTTATAGTTTATTATTATTTTTATTCACATTTGAATGTTCATTTATAAAATATAATAATCGTTATTGTTTTATATAGAATTCGATTCGAATCATAATCAGCATTATTTGATTAGGATCGGAATAATACGGATCAATTCAGTTTATAAATAATCAGAGAGAACGTGCAACTCCTAATTATTTTATTCGGAACGAAATAAATGCCAAATGGAAGGAAGATGTTTTCTAGATGCTAACACAAATAAATATGGCGCATGTTTTCAATAATTAGACATAACATATCTCAGCACTCCAATTTCAAAGAAAATTTACTCTTATTATACGATTATTTTCTGGATAAATTTTTATTTTAAATCGACTAGATTTATTATTCTATTTAATTACAATTAACCAAATTTTTATGCGTATAATCTTTTTATTAATGAAAAACAATGCGCAACAGTTCTATTTTAAAGCGACCAAAAAAACGCGTGAACTAGTTTGCTGTTCCGTCGCCGTGTTCTTGCCTCTGACTCTGTCTTTAACCGCAACAGAGATTTTGGGAATCGACTGTTTGAGGGGGCGATGGGTTGCTTCAGTTGCTTCGACGGAAAGAAGAAGCAACAACGCAAGGAAGAAGACCGATTGGCCTCCGCCGAAGCTCGCGAGAAAGCCGCCGAAGCCGCCATGCGACGGTTCTCTCTCTCTCTCTCTCTCTTCTTCTGTTGTTTTGTTATCCGATGTGTCTGAATTCGATCCGTTAGAGATTACCTCAACGATCGGAATTGTTTTCCGTTTCCGGGTTAGGGATTTGAAAGGGTTTCCCGGTTTTCCTAGCTCTCGCATCATCGAATTTCCTAATAAGTTCGTCGATTTCTTGTAATTTGACGGGCTGGAATCTGATCCATGGCGTCTTGGTGATGCCCGAAACTGAATTTCGAAGCTAGTTTTTTTTTTTTTACATTTACAATTCAATTCGAATTCCGGGTGGTGGTTGCCAGAGCCGTTCGGTATTTGGAGCCTGCTTGATAATCCGATTGCAAATACCATAGGAACCTCCTCCTAGGGTTTTGGACTTTGGTCCAATGGAACATAACGTTGGTGTTATTGTCTTGAAACAGTTGGGATACAAGTATGTTTGTCTGGTCTGATTCCTATGCCCAAAATTTGTTTTTTTTTTTGGGGGGGTTAAGCAGGCAAGAACAGTTTGAGAAATCTGCAGCAGGAAGAGCTGCTCATGCTCAGATGCAGCAGATGGCCAAACAATCAGCCAATGCCAACAAAGGAGAACCCGTTCTCAAGGTTCGTCCTTTCTCCATCTCCTGTTTCGGGTCGGAAATATGCTCGATATCGAACCATCAAAACGATACGATTTCTAATGTTCTTTTAGCTACATGACCGATTCCTTACCATACTCGGGTTTTTCCCTTTGTTCTTTCTTTGCTGTGAATGCAGTGGCAGATGGGATGATACCGGATTTCTCGGTCTCCTTCCAGCTTCTCATGGTGAGTTCTTTCTCGGGCATGACCTCTAACGAAGAACAATGTTCCTTCCTTATTAGCAGTCTTCTCTTTCTCACTGTACATTAAGACATTGTTGTCTTGTCCTTTTGTTCCAAAACTGTGTAAATATCCATGGACACATTGTGCAATAACAGAGTGGCTTGCATAAAGCATATTGATAGAAGAATGCTTAAGAATGCTCAGTTTAGTTACGACTCCAATAACGATACCTATATATATCTCAAAGAGATTTGTCTATACAAGATCATGTATAGAATCTACTACTGCTCAACCATTATATGGGTTTGGCAATATTTGTATCATCATGGTCCAAGCTGAAGATTTCCTTGGAATCATATGAAGCTCTGTACAGGAGCTGATAGCTTGAGTTCATACGCAGCTTGATAAAACTCTGCAGCTTGCTGAGGTAACCCTTGCATTTTGGCAATGAGCCCTAGATTCATCCATGCCTCGTGATTAGTCGGGTCTAATCGTAAGGCGTTCATCAGAAAGCTCCTAGCAATTGCAAGGGATTCGCCTCCGGATTTCACCATAACCTCTGCTGTAGAGACGATGCTGGGTACGTGATCTGGTTCTATCGATAGCGATAGGAAGAAAGATGCTAGAGCTTCTTCATGAAGTGATCTAGCTTCAAGGGACAAACCTGCAGGACCAACGACAGCTTGTTGTCTTTTAATGAAACTTAACTATTACTATTTCCCAACCAAAGACTTCACTTTTGTAAGATCATCTTCATACCTGTTGCATGCCAGCCTCGAGGACAATAGAAGGCGATAGATTTTGCTTTTTCCAGACATGTTTCTGCATCTGACCATGAACCCAGGTTTCCATAGATGGAAGCTAAGTCTTGCCAAGCTTCCATTTCGAAGTTTCTCCTCCGATCCTGAGAAGACGAATGAATAAGACTGTTCAGAGGTATCGGGTTATACATGACAAGGGTTTTTTTTTTTCATACTATGACCGTTACTAAAATGTATGTACCTCATATTGATTGGATTTTTTTCCTTCAGGTTGAGCTTGTGCCCGGATTATGGTTAGCATCGTGCTGTATGTCCTAATTGCCTGCTTAGGCTGATCTTGAGCCATCTGAAGCACAGCTTTCAATTTAAGAAGCTCCAACTGTTCAATCTCATCAGCCTCTTCCATGGCAAACTCGAGAACATTTTCTGCATCCTCGAGCCGTTTCTCTGCCGAAAGCACGAGAGACAAGTGCTTCCACGCTCTTGCCGAGACTCCTGCCACTGTACTAGAATACTCAACTGCACCATCCAATGCTGTCTTGAGGTTTCTCTGAACGGCATTTTCGACACTTAGGTCAAATATAACTTCGGGGTCATCCTCGGCATTCTTAGCTGCACGGT